CCATCTCTAGAGGAGACGTCGTCTCGGGGACGGGACGGGTCCGTCCAGGACCATCTCTAGAGGAGACGTCGTCTGGAGACGGGACGGGTCCGTCCATGACCATCTCTAGAGGAGATGTCGTCTGGGGACGGGGACGGGTCTGTCCAGGACCATCTCTAGAGGAGAGACGTCATCTCCGGAACCGGGACGGGTCCGTCCAGGACCATCTCTAGAGGAGACGTCGTCTTGGGGATGGGACGTGTCCGTCCGTGACCATCTCTAGAGGAGACGTCATCTGGGGACGGGGACGGGTCCGTCCATGACCATCTCTAGAGGAGACGTCGTCTCGGGGATGGGATGGGTCCGTCCAGGACCATCTCTAGAGGAGACGTCGTCTCGGGGATGGGACGGGTCCGTCCAGGTGAAGCTGTGTTGCTCTTGGCATCTTTCCTGAGGTTTCAGGGAAGGCGTGGAAGGCGTTTGCGCATCTCCTTGGCAGGGCTGGCCCTAAAATCACAGCAGAGCCCCTTCCAGCACTCTGCTGCCCTTCAGTGGCTGCTGACTGAAAGCAGAGAGCATGCCAGGGCACCACATGCAAGCCAAAAATAAAACTCCAAGCTCCCAAGTGACGGAATGGACCTCCCTCTTGGCCAAGGGTCCTCGAAGAAACCTGAAAAACTAGTCCAGGCCATGGCAGGAAGGTGGGGGCCAGACAGGCCTTGTGAGACGCTCCTCCTTTTGGAGTGCAGGCACAAATGACCAGCATTGGCATTAAAATCGGGCTCTTAAGCCTGACAAAATGGGCCAGGCACAGTGGCTCATGCCTAGAACCCAGCACTTTGGGAGGCCGAGGCCAGAGGATCTCCTGAGCTCTGGAGTTCAAGACCAGCCTGGGCAACATAATGAGAGTTTATCTCTCCAAAAAAAAAAAAAAAAAAAAAATAGCCAGGCGTGGTGGCATGCACCTGTGGTCCCAGCCACTCAGGAGGAAGAGGCAGGAGGCTCACTTGAGCCAGCAGGCCCAGGCCGCACTGAGCTGTGATCGGGCTGCTGAACTCCAGCTGGGATGGACACGGAGACCCTGTCTCAAAAACAAAAATAAAAAACAAAAAAATCCAACAGACTGTAAGATCCCGCATGCCAGCCTGACGGCATAACATCACATGGCAAACAAGGAAAGAAAATTATTCTACCCCCAAATACGTTTGTTTGCCATATTCTGAAAAGACCCTGCAAAGCCGTCCTTTGTGGGGAAAGCTTCTGTGAGGAGTCCCTGTTTTATGACATAACTAGCCTCTTCCCCTTCCAGGCCCTCCCAAGCCTGAAGAGCTAAGCTGAGAGTCCAGACCTTTCAAAGGTCTGCAGGGGAAACCTGGCCATGTCCTGCCTTTAACAGCAGGTACCCATGGGACTTCACCTCCGCAGTCAGAACGCTGGTCTCCACAACCCCTTAGCTTAACCAGACGCCCCTTCCTACTCATCTTTAGATAATAGCCTAACTCTTTCAACCAACTGCCAATCAGAAGATCTTTGAATCCACAATCCACCTAGGATTCGTAAGCCCCCCACCCAGGACCCACAGCCCCCCCCCACCCAGGACCCACAGGCCCCCCCCACCCAGGACCCACAGACCCCCCCACCTGTGACCCGTAAGCCTCCACCCCCTACTTAGAGTTTTTCTGCCTTCCTGAACCTGAGCAACACACAGCTGATGTACACTAATTGAGGTCTATGTCTCCATAAAACCAAGCTGCCACCAGCCACCCGGGACACCTGTGCTCAGGACACAATGAGACTGTGCCTCGGGCTGTGGTCGCTGCTTTAGGCTCAGAGTAAACCTCTTTAAATATTTTAGAGTTTGGCATTTTAGGTCACACATATTTCGGGGTGAAATTCGCTCCTTCACCATCCTGGCCTGCTGTGATGGTCTGCCCTACCCAGATCTGCCCGATGAGGGCCTGGGACAGAGGGGCCTTGGGGCTTGGGGCGGCACTGCAGGGACCCCAGCTTCCCTTCCCCACCCTTCCTTGCTCACGTCCTGCTTAGAGATCTGTTTGTGGGGTGGGTCCGGCCTGCCTCCTCCTCGGGCCCCACAACCACTGCCTCTGGGCCTCCAGTCCTGACAGTCCTGGGATTCTGGGTCAGCGGCTGCAATGGAAGGCTGGGCTTGTGGTCTCAGTCACATGAGCCAGGTCCTGCCCGCCTCCAGGCCGTGCTGGCTGAAATGAGGCTGCACCCAGAGCCCCCAGGAGCTGAGGAAGAGGAGGAAAGAGGTGGCAGGGAGGTGGAGAAGCTCCAATCCCTGTCCGGGGCTCAGGCCTGGGTTCCCAGGAAGCTCAACAGGTGTCCATTGGGCGAGGCGGCTGGCAACCCTGGTACCAGCCACCCTTCCGCGCCCAGCCCACTGCCGCTGAGAGAACCCTGAGTGCCCTCACCAAAAGCCGCTGAGCCCGTCCCTCCTCCCCAGCTTGGGGGACCAGAGCCTGCTGACACTGGAGCAACACTCCCTGTGGCCACAGAGCAAGGACTCCAGGTGACCGCAGGGCTCCAGACAAGTGTGTCGGAGGCCCCCAGGAGAGGCCAGGCATTAAGCAGCTCCAGGTGAGACAGGCAGGCTGGCTAGTTTCCTGTTTTCAGACTGTCTGGAGGGGCCGGGTGTGGTGACTCACACCTGTTATCCCAGCACTTTGGAAGGCTGAGGTGGGTGGGTCACATGAGGCCGGGAGCTCAAGACCAGCCCGCCAACATGGCAAAACCCCGTCTC